GCAGACCACTATGTAGCTTTTTGCTTATACTCAAACAAACAAAGAAACTAAGAACTTAACTTAAACAATGGTACTTGTTTACAAAACTTAAGGTTATATATCTGAAAAACATAAAATACTTTGTTGTGCTTAGCAAGACTAAATTTTGTTTTTACATCTGTTTTTTTTACCTTTAAAGGTTTCCCAATCTACTTTAAATCTTTATCATTCTTGTAAATTCAATCTTTTTACTAAGGCAGTCATCCTGAAATGTTAAGGCTGAAATGCATTACTATGTTGGTGTGTGCTCTATTTTTTAATATTAGAAGGTCTGGATTATATTTATGGTAACTGATATGATTATTTTTACATTTTTGTTCTTAACCAATATAAAATACTGTTACGACAGCGGAAGTCACGTGACGCTGGTAACATGTGATGAGTATCTCGAACGTTCCTGAAGGCTGGAGCATTTGCTAGACTCGCGTTTTTATAGTATATAAGCAGACAAATAAAGTGACGGTAATAATTAAATTGCAGACAGGCAGAGATAGAGATGGAATATTGAGTCAAGCCTGGAAGTAAGTAACATGCGTGAATCGTTTGTTGTGAATTACAGCGTGTGTTTAAGTGAAAGTGAGTGTGGAAATTAAGTGTATTGCAAAGTTGAATTGAGAAAGAATTAAATAGTTTTATTTAAGAAAAGATTTGTATTGCTGAAGTTTCTTGGGAAGAATTTCAACGAAAAATTAACAAACGAACACAGAGACGTAACAAATTGGTGTCAGAGAGTGGAGCGGAAAAGAAACAAAATGGAAACGAGAAGTGGCAAATCAAACTACAACTTAGCAGATTTGATGGCAGCAATAGAAGAACGAGAAAAGAAACAAGAAGAGAAATTACAGCAGTTGTTGAATGAAAAAGAAAAGAAACAAGAAGAATGAAAAAAGAACAAGAAGAGAGATTACAGCAATTGTTGAAGGAAAAAGAAAAGAAACAAGAAGAATGAAAAAAGAACAAGAAGAGAGATTACAGCAATTGTTGAAGGAAAAAGAAAAGAAACAAGAAGAACGAGAAAATAAACAAGAAGAGAGACTACAGCAGTGGCAACTGGAACAAGAAAGGAAACAAGAAGTACAAATGGAAAAGCTAAGTAAATTTCAAAGCGAAATAAATACATTAAAAGATGATTTATTGTCTTTTACACAAGGAGGATACATTAACCATCGACTTAATCAGACCCAGACAATGGCAAGCCCCTTCCAGACCCCGCAGCAAAACCCTAATGCAGACATCTTCAGTCCTGTTAGAAGTCACATCCCAGATATGAATGTCAGCAATAGGGGTGATCCAGTATGAAGGAAGCCACAGGAATTCGATGGGAAGGCACCGTGAGAAGCATATAGAGCACAATTTGAGCTCCTGGCAGAGATGAATGGAAGGACAGAGGAGCAGAAGGCAGTGTACCTGGCAACGAGCTTGAATGGACATCCAGTGAAGATACTTGGACAGTTGTCAGCAGACGACAGGCACAACTATAGAGCACTGGTAGCTGCTCTAGAACTCAGGTATGGAACCCAAAATCAGTCTGAAGTCTACAGGGATAGGTTCAGGACGAGAGTCCATGCTGAAGGGGAGAGCCTGCAAGAGCTGGCACAGGATTTGGAAAGCAGGCACACAAGGCCTACCCAACTGCGCCACCTGACGTCCTCAAGTTGTTGCTTAGGGATCAATTTGTAGATGCCTTAGCAGTCCACAACTGAAGATACAAGTGAAGCAAGCACACTCCTCTACTTTGCAGGATGCAATGGCCAGAGCTCTTGAATTCGATTCCCACGTTAAGTCCAGCACAGAGGTACCAAGGTTGGTACAGTCATCAGGATTAAAAGCCAGAAAAGGGCAGCTTTCAGAGAAGTTTGAGGGACTTTGCTGGCACTGTAACAAACCTGGGCACAAGAGAGCTCAATACTGGCAACTTCAACACAGAGAAGATGCCACAGCAGGATATCCTGCTACCCAGAAAGGTTGTTGGAACTGTGGAAAGCAAGGACATATGAGAAGCCAGTGTAAGAAGAATACCACCACCAAGTCAGCTTCGGGAAACCAGTAGTGGTTGGTGCTGAGGGACGCCCACCAACCCCCATCGTGAAAGTCCCAACAGCTAAGTGTAAAATGGCAAGCACACATAGTGTCTACAGGAAAACTGGATGGCCAAAGGTGCAACTTTGTCATACATTCTGCATCTCAGCCAACACTTATGAGTATCAAGGTGCTGGATCACAAAGGAGTACC